TAGTAAGGCACATTGTTATGAGTTTATAAATACACTAACTGACAATACAGAAAGTATATCTATTGATAATTATAATTGATAATAAACAATCCGTGACTTGGACAGCAATGTCATAAAAATCCAATTAGCTACCTGTATTTACAATCCCATGTGTATTATACATGTTTATTAATTCAAAAATTTGAAACTTTAAATGTTTATATCTAATAAGCTAATAAAGTTATATTAAAAATTCAAATGCCATTTACTATTAAATTAAAAACTCAAACATTTTATTAAATTAAAAATATGTGTTACCATTTAAAAAAACAAAGTTGACCCCCTTCCAAGGCATAAGGGATGAACTTAAAAAGTATTACNTAAAAAAACAAAGTTGACCCCCCTCCAAGGCATAAGGAATGAACTTAAAAAGTATAACATAGTTAAAAATTCAAGAATAATGTGTAACTAAAGATAATAAAAAAAAAAAAAATGTTTAAATTATTATTATTCTGCAAGTTATTGAGTGGGTTATGATAAAAAAATCATCCTGTATACTAGGGTGCTACTTATTCATACATGATGATTTTTTTTTTGTAATTCTTATGAGCGCCGGTCAAAATTTTATTAGAAATACCATAAATATAAATCATGTTAAGTTTCAGCCCATTTGAACTACTTTAACACGTGCCGATTTGAGTTTAAAGTTTTGTGTAAATTCGTAAAATCCGTTATTTTGACATATAATCGTTACAATTTTCATTTTACAAAAATTTTTATAGAACAATAAATGTAGTACAAAACACGTTTAAAAAAAATGATCTCTTAATATTTTTTTATAAAGTGAACTCATTCTCAGAAAAATAACAAAATATGTGCGATTTCGCGTATTATAGAATAAACATAACTTTAGTGTTGTATAGTTTTTTTTTTTTTTTTTATAGCCTTTATTATAATGTGTTGTATAGTTATATTTTTAATACGGTTTCTTATTTATAAACGACAATAAAATTTTTGTTATTATTATGAACATCATTTTAAGTTTAAGTTAAAATTTATAAATGTCACTTTTATCACATATACTGACTCATAAAATAGTAATCTCGGGAATCGTTGAATTGTCCAAGTACGATAATAATCATACATGTGCAATATTCGGATTCTTTTATTTTACATTTACCGTGTACCTCTAACGTTATCTAAATGGAACTATTTTGATCCAATAAAGTAATTGTAAATAGAATCATTACCATTTATTGAACATTATTTCTCTTGATGTCATACTTATTGTTGTCTAGTTAGGTTTAAGAGTTGTTTGTAAATCAGTAAAAGTATTTTTATTTTAAGTTTTTTTTGCGGGGGTTTTATTATTTAATTAATTAAAATGCCACTTCGTGAAAAAAATTTTATAATCAGCCACATGGAACATCAAATCACGGGAAGTAAATTACCATCTAGAGGAGATTGTTTAAAAGTTTTAATGTATAATAGGAGATTTACAAAATTAAATTTAAACGAAAGTGCTGCTGTAGTTATAGAAGAATGTTTAGTTTTTTGGAAGACAGCTCGAATACCGACTCAAGAACCTCATAAATGTAAAGACAAGTTGAAAAAGTTGTAATGAAGAATGGAGATCATTAACAAAAAATGCCAAAAAAATTTCTGAAAATTTAAGAAAAAAAGAAAATATGTTTTTAGAAAAAATCAATGATTTATTTGATATAGCCCACCAAAACGCACTCGAATTGATTAAAATTGAAGAAGATAGGCTATTTTTAAATAAACAAAGAGAAAAAGGACGTCCAGGTTCAATGTTGGGAGTAGATAGAAAACTAAGTCGGATTGAAAAACGAAAATTTACTCGTGAAGAAGAGATTAACACTAGGCGTGAAAAGTATTTAAATACGCCGTCTACGTCAACTGGTAAACTCAATTAAATTAATAAAACATACAATTTTTAATTTTTTAACTTAAAACAGTAAAACTAAAAATCAATACTATATTTCACAGGAATTATACATTATTCAGATTTTGATGAATGCGATATTCATGTAAAATTAAATGAAGAAAAAAACATTCAAAATATTAGAGACGGTATAATTGATGATTTTGAGTCAGTAATGGAGTTTGAAAATGAAGAAAAAATTCCAAATTCTGAAGTTGATACAGTTGTAATACCTAAACGAGCTCGTAAAGAAATTTTAACACCACGATTAGCTGCAGTACTTGATAAGTGTAAAATAAGTGAGAGAGATACGGTCCATTTACTTACAGCTTTTTTGGATGCAGTTTCATTAGATTCAGCTGATTATATAACTAATCGTACATCTATCCGTAAAGCAAGAGATGATTATCGAAGAACTTACTATGAAAAGGTAAGAAAAAATTATTTAAGTATAGAGAAAGATGTTGTAACAATACATTGGGACACAAAATTATTAAGTAACATTATTGGACAAAAAGTCGATAGATTAGCAGTAATTGCAACATCCCATGCAGTTGACAAACTTTTAGGAGTACCAGAAATACCCGCTGGAACTGGTTTAGAAATATGCTCCGCTATTTATGAAGTTATTGATAGCTGGTGATTGATAAATAATATTCAAGCGTTTGTTTTTGATACAACAGAATCTAACACTGGGAAATTTATAGGTGCTTGTTCCTTATTAGAAAGAAAAATTGAACGAGATATATTATTTTTCGGTTGTCGTCATCATATATACGAAATAATATTATCAACAGTTTTTACGATTTGTAAAGTAAGTGTCATGTCAGGACCTGAAATTCCGCTATTTAAAAAATTTAAAAATCAGTGGGATACCATTATAAAAACCCAGCACAGGGGGGTCGAGGAACAGTGGTGATGTGGCATAGGTGGATCAAGTATAATGATATCTGATTGTGATTAAAATCACTATAAAAAAAAAACGCTTCGATGCAAATCTTTAGATAGTGTTTAATTTTAAAAAATTGGTGGATTATTCCAAAAGTAACATGATCTGCTAGTTCGTTATTAATATCCTGATTCAGATAAAGTATATCGAATGAAAAAGGGATTATTAAAAAATATTATTTCTCATAAAAAAATTGTGTGGATCCATAAACTTTTCAATAAGTTATAGCAATATAAAGTTAAATATTATATAAATAATAAAATCGAGAATTTTCACACAAAAATAGCATTCGATAGCTATTTTCACCATGAAGACAAAATAAAGTCCAGAGGTCAAATTTTTTTTTTTCAAATTAAAGTATATTACATTAGCTTTAATTTAAGATATATATAAAAGTGTCAGACCTTCCGGAACATTTTCAAAAGTTAAGTTGAAAAAGTTAATTTTTTGTGAAAAAGTTGTCATTTTAAATCCCCCCCTGTGGGCAGGTTAAGTGTCAAATTTACAAAAAAAATATACCAAATGATAGGTAAAGACATCAAGCATCTATAAAAAAAAAATTATATTCATACGTTCATTTTTGAAAAAGTTACGGCAGTTTTTAGTAAAAAAAAATTGAAAAATTTTCGAAAATTAGCGATTTTTAAATTTGTAATTTTTTTGGAGGTTTCCCCCATTTACGGGGAACGAGGAAAATTTTTTCAATTTTGAAGGGTAATGTCTTCGACTAGATACGATTTGTGATCTTTTGACTTATCGTTGAATGTTCCGGAAGGTCTGACACTTTTATATATATCTTAAATTAAAGCTACTGTAAGATGCTTTATTATGAAAAAAAAAAATTTCGGACTTTATCTTATCTTCACGGTGAAAATGGCTACCGAATGCTATTATTGTGTGAAAATTCTCAATTTTATTTTTTACATTTTTAACTTTATAAAGCTATAACTTATTGAAAAGTGTATTGATCAATGTAATTTTTTTATGGGAAATACTATTTTTTAATAAACCCTTTTTCATTCGACATACTTTATCTTAATCGAGATATTAAGGAACCAGCAGATCAAGTAGCTTTTGGAATAATCCACCAATTTTTTAAAATTAAACACTATCTAAAGATTTGCATCGAAGTGTTTTTTATGATAGTGATTTTAATCACTGTCAGATATCATTATACTTGATCCATCTATGCCACGTCACCACCGTGCCGCGACCCCCCTGTGCTGGGTTTTTTTTGGGGGCTGTTCTTCCAGAAGGAATAAAATTTTAAAAACCAGGAGTATACCATTTAGCACGTTGGATGGCTAAAGGTATATACGGCCTAAAAATTTTCTTATTTAGAAATCATTTTAAGTTAACTAAACTTGAGGAAAATTCTCTCGCAGAACTTAATTGCTTTATTATAAAATGTTACGCTGTGAACTGGTTTACTGCCTCAAACAGTGAAATAGCTCTTTTAAATGACATCAGATTTTTAAAAAAATTGCATGAATATTCTAAAATGAATAAAGATATTTCTGAAGCTACTATTAGAAAATTTTTAAATCATTTATATTATTTGAATGAAGAATGTTTATCTTTTGCATTATTCGATCAAAGAGTAGACGATGATACAAAATTGAAAATGGCTAAAAAATTATGTGAAGACATCTTCGATGAAGAAGATGAAATAGAAGAAGAGATTGAGACCCCCAAAAAACTAATTTTAAAAAAGGTGACATTCCATTTATTTTTAATGATGACGATAAAACTATTTTAGTTAAACTTATTAGTAAAAAATCTCTAAAGATGTTTAAAAGATTCAATATAAATAGTGATTTTTTAAAAACTCATCCCAACACGTGGAATAATTCAGCTAATTATAAATATGGCGAGGAAAAAATTAAAAAACTTAAAGTTGTCAACGATGGAGCAGAAAGAGGAATTAAACTTATTGAGGAATTTGATCATAAAATTACAAAAAATGAAGAGCAAAAACAATTTCTTCTGCAGGTAAATAACATTAGTTAATAGTTTTGATAATAAATAAAGCTATTTATTTTTAATTTTTAGACTATACAAGATTATCGTGAAAAATGTCCGAATCCATCTCTAAATGTTCTTAAAAAAAACCTCTGATTTTTTTTATTTAATATTATTTATTTTTTATTTTTTTAATTTTACATAAGTCCATGTTATTTTACAGACATGAAGTATGTTTTATAGTAATGAAATAAGAATCAATTTTTTTAAAAAATATTAATTTTTTTATAAAATTGAAATTAATTTATTATAGTCTATTGTAATTTTTGTTAGAATAATATGATTAAAGAGTATTCTATAATACGCTAAATCGCACATATTTTGTTATTTTTCCGAGAATGAGTTCACTTTACAAAAAAATATTAAGAAATCATTTTTTTAAAACGTGTTTTGTACTACATTTATTGTTCTATAAAATTTTTTGTAAAATGAAAATTGTAACGACTATATGTCAAAATAACGGATTTTACGAATTTACACAAAACTTTAAACTCAAATCGGCACGTGTTAAAGTAGTTCAAATGGGCTGAAACTTAACATGATTTATATTTAAGGTATTTCTAATAAAATTTTGACCGGCGCTCATAAAAATTACAGATGTTAAAAATAAGTGGCACCCTAATATATACTAATAAGAAGTATTGCAAATCGTATAGTGACAGTTCAATGAATTTAAATTTTGTGAACACCCATCTAGAAACTAACAAAAAACAGTGCAGATGAATATCAGCGCTAAGGTGGCAACTAATTGATCCACAGCGTCAAGTCACTACCCTATATTTAGATATCACAAGTTAATTTTCGTAATAATAAATCTGTTATATAATTTTGAATTTTGTTCAATAACTACGAATTACCCTGCATATAATTTCTTTAACAGCTTGCATGAAACCCGTAAAGTAATAACTGCTATATAATTTTTTTTACTAATTTGTTTGTAATATTTTTTATGTGAAGACATAACTGCTATAATGTCTCAAGAAATAATCCTTCAAAAATTCTTCTATATATATTTAGGTAAGAATATTTTTTTTAGAAAATGTATTTTTTCATTTTATAAAAACTAAATTTATCATAAAAAGTAGTAAAAGTAATTTTAAATCATGAATTCACGACTCGCCATCTTGGGTAGTCTAAGGATACATATTAAAAAAAGAAGATGCACTTTAAAAAAACAACCCAGCACAGTGGGGTGGCGGCACAGTGTGGTCGTGGCATAGTTGAGTCCAGTATAGATGATATCTGACAGTGATTCAAATCACTATCATAAAAAACGCTTCGATGCAAATCTGTAGATAGTGTTTAATTAAAAAAAAAAATTTGTTAAAATAGCATAAGTAGGGTAATTTGGAGAGAGCTGGGCCCCCCCCCGCCTCACCCACTCACCTTCCTTGCGGTGGAGGAAGTGTACGGGGGGATTAAATCTAACGTAAACTAACCTAATGTAATGGTGGGGGAGAACGATGAAACCCAACGTAAACTAACATAATGCAATGGGAGGACGAAACCTTATGTAAACTAACCTAATGCGGGGGGAGGGAGAGGATGAAACCCAATGTTTTCTAAGAATTTTATCATCGACTAGCAGACGCTTAGGTAAGCATATGTCTGACATCAAAGGTATCATAATATTATATCGCTAATAAGCGTCTGTAANCCAAAAAATATTATTTTTATTTGTTCATTTTTGAAAAAGTTGTGGCAGTTTTAAGTACAAAAAACATCCCGAAAATATGTAATTTTTATCGCAAATATTACATTTTTTTTTTTAATTTCGACAGCCATTTGCACATAGAAGATAAGGTGTCGGGACAAATTTTTTTTTTCATTTGATAGTATATAACATAACCTTTGATTTGATATATGTTTAAAGGACGCAGTATTTCCGGAACATTTTCAAAAGTTCAGTTGAAAAAGATCTATGTTTTTTACAATATTTTAAGTTTTGAACGCCCCCTATATAAGGGGAAATTGTCCAATTTTAATAAAAAGTATGTCAAATGAAAGATGTACTTATAATGTATTTAGAAAAAAAAGTTTGTGCTGATATATACATTTTTCAAAAAGTTATAGCATTTTTAAGTTGAAAATTTAAAATCGAAAATTTTAACACAAAAATAGTGTTTTTTAACTACGGCAGCCGTTTAAATGTAGAAGAAAAAGTGTCAGGACAAATTATTTTTTTTTCATTTTATAGTACATAAAAAACTTTAATTTGATTTATGTTTAAAGGACGCAGTATTTCCGGAAGATTTACAAAAATTAAGTTGAAAAAGTTATATTTTGTAAAAAAGTTGCTATTTTTAATTCCCCCCAATGAGCAGGTTAAGTGATAAATTTTCAAAAAAATTATATCAAATGAAAGTAAATATCAAAGGTTTTAGTATAAAAAAAAAATATATTAATTTGTTTATTTTTCAAAAAGTTATTGAAGTTTTAAGAAAAAAAAGTGAAAAAATTTCGAAAATTAGCGATTTTTAAATTTGTAATTTTTTTGGATATTTCCCCCATTTGCGGGGAACGAGGGAATTTTTTTCAATTTTTAAGGGTAATGTCTTCAACTAGATACGATTTGTGATCTTTTGACGTATTTTTGAAAGAAATCGGTCCAGTGAGAGCTGAGAAAAAGTGGCAACAGACATAAAAAAAAAAAAAAACACATCATAGTAAAATAAATACCTTCTCCGCTTCGCATCGAAGCTAAATCATTTCTCACAATTAATTCATGACTGGATAGAATACAAAAAAATTATTCGTAGAAATAAGATTCATTATTTAAATAATACATACTTAACGCATGTTTTTATGGAATTATTTACAAATACTAATCGTGCTGAAATATAATTAATTTTTAGCTTCGATGCGAAGCTGAGAAGGTATTGGTTTTACTATGATGTGTTTTTTTTTTTTTTTTTTTTTTTTTTTTTTTTTT